GTCAGTGGATATTGGAAACCTGGTACCACACAGGTCTGTCTTACCATGAGAATGAATGTGTGTGCTAGTCTAAAGCTCTCCTGTAGGTTTTCATGCCAAAATTCCTTGAGCTGCTCTACGTTTGAGTACCTGTCCCACTTAAAGAAAGGACACTCAGAGGAAAAGCTGCAATCCTGCGTTTTGCACTCAGTTGACGTGACAAAGCTAATGTCACGGGGTGGCGGAGACGCTGCCATGCTGTGGTGATGCTGGCTTCAGGCTCTCCTCCCTTCCATCCACCGTCCAAACCTGCCATGGGGCTGTAAGAGTAATACTTATTTTTAATTCTCTGATACCCCTACAATGAAAACCATCACTGTGCCGGCGATACTGCGCTTGATTTAGAACATCGATTGTTAATTCTGGCAGTTCTCCTACCAGCAGAGATTTTTAAATAGCAGGAGCTGGATGACTCTTCAGCAGAATAGCTCCTGGGGGACTGGGATTGGTTTTATTGACTGAGTCTCTCTGCCTGTGGGTAACAGCAAAGCTGCGCTGGCTCTTTTTTCTATAATTGGGAAGTTAACTAGCTTCTGCCGTGCTGTCAAGTAGATATGCCTGCATCAAAAATTATTGCATTTGCCTGCAGTGAGGTTTGCAATGTGTCTTATTAAATGTTTTCAGCTGCTGCTAAACATTCAGGTAACTGATAATTTACCGGGCATTGAAAATCTTCTGTATTTTTAAAGAAAAAGCTGTATGTATTCAGTGTGTCTGAGTTTGAATTTGGTGCAACTTCTATCCAGTGTGAAACTTTTCAAGTGAACCATAAAGCATGAATAGGAAGCAGAGCTTCTGAGTATTACCAAATAATACTGTATATGATTATTTTAAAATCTTTTAGATATTTCAATCATGACCACTTTAGCAGAAGCAGCCAAATGACTTGTTTAGCCAGAGCAAAATACGTCACTCATTTAGTCAGAGGAACCAGTATGGATATGTCACCGTGGATTGGGAGCAAGGGGCTGCCTTGGATTTCTCCTTGGGGAGAAAAAGATGGAAAAGGCCCATTTCACGCCCATTGGAGGTGGGAGCAGAGGGAAGCTGCTGGCTGCCTTGCTGGGTAATCCTCTTCTTGTTCCTCTCCAGCTGCCAAACTCCCGGCAGGGCTTTGCAATCGCTGCAGCGAGCCCTGGGTTCCCAAGCACGTTGCAGATGGAGAGCGTGGAGCACGCAGCGTTCGTCCCGCTCAGCTCTAGGGTGCTGGAATCGCCCGGCTGGAGGGCTCAGCCCCCACCTTGATGCGTGGTGGGTGCTGCTGCCCGATGGCGCAGGGCTCGAGCTGGGTTTTCTGCATTTCCAAGCCACCCTCAGACCTGGGGTGCAAGGCGAGGGAGCACGGTGCATGCACCCTACCCCGGCGAGCTTGGAGCTCGGCTGCTGGAGGGAGGGTTCATCTGTTGTCTGGTTTCAGCCTGGATCCTTCCCTCGACCTGATCAGACACAGCTCCTGGTGAAAAGCAACGTGCGTCGACTACTGGCAAGTGATGAATGTGTAAAATTACCCCTGGTTTAGATAAGATGGGAGCTTGATTTTTCTTTCAAGAGTGCATCAAGCTGACAGTGCAAGCTTTTTTTCCTTTTTACCTAAGGGTAAACTGCCAGAATTTGTCCTCATTAAGGGGATAAGTGTACTGAACACAGCTCCATTCATTTCAAAGGCTGTCTAGTTGGCAAGAGCCAGACCAATTCCTTTTTGATATCCTAAAGCTAAATACAAGGTTGGATTATGTTGCATCCTTTCTTCTTTGTTTTTTTCTTTCTATTTTTTACTTCCTCTGGTAGAAGTGGCTGCAACCCAGATGCACAATCCCTTTGTACTGAGCTTTTGACTCAGGGAATGGATATCTGGACGGCTGGGCTCCCTGTTTGTTCATCCTGAGTGTTTGCTTGCCCGGACCAGCCCTGTCCTGGACGGCTTCTGGGCAGCTGGCTCCCTTCTCAGAAGAAGGGTAATTCCAGAGCTTTCCTCTATTGTGATCTAACTTGGAGCAGGTGCTTCCAAATCCAGGCAGTTACCTGATAACCGACCTTTTCAAAGGAAAGGAAAAAGCTTCTTTTTGGAAGCTGCCACCTTCCTCAGCCTCATCGCCACCTGATAAATCTCCATCGGCAACATCTGCCAAGCTGAGACCGCTGCATGAAGCAGAAAGTATGTAGCCTAGGGCAGAGAGGATCATTTTGAGCTTGGGAAGGAAAGTCTTGTCTTTAATTTGAAAAAACCATTCAGACTAAGAATATCAATGTAGCCTTGTTAGCCACCTGCAACTTCAACTACAATATAAATTTGATTTTTTTCTTTTTAGTATTGTGATGGTTTTGATCCGTAGTACTCATCAAAGCAGGTGAGCTCTCGCTACCCGCTGACTTGCTGGCAACACGTGTCCCTCCGCCTTCGCAGCCATATGTGCCAGCAGCTGAGCAGAAGATCCCTTGAGACTTCCAGACTGATTTTGAACAGAGCCAGGTGGTTCCCATAGGCACATGGAAGTGGGAATGTTGTTGGTTTGTTTTTTTTTTCCAGCTCTTCCATGGGAATTAGTACTTCAGTGCAATAAGAATGCCCAAGCAATGGTAAGCCACTGCTTTTCAAAGCAGGAGCCACCGCTCCTCTGGTATTATTCTATTACGATGACTTTATTTCTCTGCGAGCGAGTGCCTGATAGAAGTGTAATTGTACGGTGTGATGGATGCTGGCGGAGCACCACAGCGACAGATGCATGCTGAAACTGTGCGAAAATTTTTGCAGCCAAAGCAAAACTGGCAAAGATTTGACTTTCCGCCAGCTTCGCTTGCGGGTGCACAATATCTGAGGGTTTAACTGCAATGTTTACAGGCCTGAAAAGCAGTTCTAGGCATGGTTCTTGTCAGCAGTGGAGAGCAGATAACATCTCTTCTTTTGTTGACTTGTGCCACCCCTCAAGTCACAGAATCACAGAATACTAGGGGTTGGAAGGGACCTCTGTGGGTCACCCAGTCCAACCCTCCTGCCCAAGCAGGG